GGAGGGAGGGAGGGAGGGAGGGCAGAAGAGAATGAGAAAGAAAGGGGGCAAGAGACATGTCAGCGCACTGTATCACATGACAGCTGGATGCCCAATAAACTAACCTGCATGAAGCCGCCGCGCGGCGGCTTCATGCATTCTACTCCATAATCCACTTTACTCCACTCCACTCCACTCCAACCTACTCCCCACTCCACTCCACTCCCGAAGGTTCGCGACGAGGTACTGTAGCTGCGTGTCGAATGAATGCCTAGAGCCTAGAGTCCTAGAGGCCTCGAAATCCCGGGTGTCGCTTCACGGCTGAGAATCTGAGCCACCGTCCACTGCACTGGGTGGGGCCGCCAGCGCAAGTTGCCCCAGCGAAGTGAAACCTGCCCTGTGCACCTGCCGACATCAAGGACTCGCAGAGACTTGGAGGTGCAAGGACGGAACTCTGCCTGGCTAACCAGCTCAATCCCAAAGACCATGCCACTCCAAGTGCTGGCCAAGGCCTCAGCAGCTCACGAGACGACGGACCTACGAGAGTACGGAGGCCACCGGGGGCGACACTGCCCAGGTGTCAGCATTGCCCAGATTCAGCCCACCACTGAACGCCACCAGCGGCGCCACGTGGCACCGTCGACGGACGGGGGCCACAGCAGAGCACAGAGCCCTCGGACGGCTCGCAGGGCTCGCGGGGGCTGGCATGGGCACGGACGGCAAGCGTGGTGCCAGGCATGAACAACCCGCGCACCGCGCTATGCAGTTCATTGAATCCTCGCTCCCACTTCCCTCCCGCACCTCATTGAATCTTCGGCGTCAGTCTCTGAGCGAATGGGCCAAAACTGCTCGGGCTCTGCTTGGCGTAGCCGGTCTTAGGGATCGCCGGCCCAGGAAGCCATTAGCACGAAAAAAAAGGAAAAACTCAAAGCCCTGGCTCTCTGCCCCGCTCAGTCCGACAAGAAGCTTCATGCGAAGCTTTTCAAAGCTGCTCTGCAAAACTTAGTTGGGCATCTCCAGCAGCAAGCATTTACTGAGCTTGCTGCTCCTCCACTTACCACTTTCTTCACTCCAATGTGCCCACCTCCAACCAAGCACAGAGCGGAAGGCAGGCTACGGGCGTCACTGCCCTGCGGCTTCGGCGGCTTCCAACTTGAAAGGACTGGTAAGGCCGCTTGCACTCTCTCCGGCTGCCACCAGTTCAGCGGAAGCAATGGGCATATCGTATTTTGCAGGGCAATGCACCAAGAAACTTCGGGCTTTCCACGCGTGGCGACAGAAACTCCGTGCTGGAGCTTCTCACAGATATCGACCAGGCACACCGAACGCAAGCTGATCCATTCCCAGACATTGCACCTCCAGCATTGCGTGGGAAGTCTTACGATTTTGCTCACGCTCCACTGCGCTGCTCTCGCAAGTCTGCAGGTCCTGCCAACACGGCTTGCATGCCTCATGCATCGTGCGTGTGGAGCACACGCCACAAGTGCGGGAACGTGCACGGTGCCTACCGGCCTACCGGGCCTACCGCATGCATCTCCCCTCGGCGGCTCCTCGCCTTAGCGTGGCTCCAGAGCTACAGGTGGCAGTCAGAAGTCAAGTCGGCACAACGTAAAGGCACTACAGCGCAATGCAGTCGTGCCATGCAGAGCGTCGGCTTGCCTGACCGGGCTCTCGAAACGACAAAGGTGGCTTTGCACAGCTTTGGGTAGAGAGCGCCTAGAGGTAGCGAAGACTTCTCAAAATAATGGCAGGGGGCGCAGGCCAGCCATCCCGGAGCCTACCGGGCGGCCCCTTCAACAGTCTTGGATGCACCGGCAAATATCGGAATTTTGAGCTTTGCGGTAAGCGGCGACAGTCTACTACATGACCAGAAACTGAATTTCATGGGACAGCCGTCCGCAAGGTCAAACCTGAGGAGTTCTTTCACTTCTCAACTCAGATGTAGCACGTTACAAACCGTCAGAGAGATTGCCGCTTTCAACAGCGTTCAAACGCTAGCAAAAATCAAAGGGATTGAAAAGTTCCTGAGAAGAGTGGGGCACCTGAATGCAAACAGGGGTGGTCGCCATCTCAACTAGGAAAATCCCGCGAGCTGATTTTTTCGGATGGCTGGGCTCGAGGAAGCACCGATATGTCGCGCGTTTCACGTGCACTTTCCCTTCACGAATTCCCATCGCAAAGTGTTGCTGGAGTCACATCCACCAGCCCGCGCTTTGCGAAAGGAACTTCGAACAAACCTGCCCACTCGAGGCATATGCACTGCATCTATGGCGGGTGGCCGAGCAAGATGTGGGCAGAGGGAGAAGCGGCAAAAAAGCCCAGAAGCTGCTCCGCCCAGACTTACTGGCACTCAAGACAAGAGTGTGGTGAAAGGCACTCGTAGCTCTTGTAGCTCTCGCACCTTCAAGTCTACCCAGCAACCGTACGCACACCGTGCAGAATGTGCCCTCTGCACCCTCGCTTCCAGGCACACGGCCTCCGCTAAACTGCGAAACCCCGGCACATCGCCGGTGTAAATCTGCCTTGTCCCAAGCCAGCGGCATTCGAGAAGCCCACCCGGCTCACACAGGCAGCACGAGCAGAGCCTTTTGACCTCACGGCAACCGGCCAGAGCTCAGAGCTTCGACATGATGGACATGAGATCTCTCGGTTCAAGGCGAGGCCGGTCTGGGTCTGCACAGCCTACTGTGGTTTGGCTGTGCAGCTGCAGCGAAAGCGAAAGCGTCTTGCGAAAAGCTTCCCACGTTGCCACATGCCCAAAAGGCGGAGAAGCGGCCGCAAAGTTGACAGAAGCGAAAGCCACGGCTGCCAGAGTTCCCTCGAAACCACCAAAAAAAACTGAGCCTTTGCCTTTGGCCGCGCTTCCTCGACGCAGTACCGTTCCGTCACACGCGGCGAAGTGCCCAGAGCGGTGCGATCTCCTTCATGCCGGGGCCTTCAGAGAGCGCAGACGGCCGAGACGTCCGCCACTGCCTTGGCCCGGGACCGGCCAGACGGCTCCGGCTCTCGCTCTTTCTTCTCCTTCTTCTCTTGCTCCTTCGAAGGGGCCGTGCCAGGGGCCGTGCCTGGGGCAGGCAGGACAGGCAAGGGCCCGGTAAGGGCAGGCTCGCAGCGAAGGCCCAGCTGCAGGGCCACGGCCTCCTCCACAAAGCGCGCCGAAGCTGCGAGTCCTAAGGGCATCCGCAGCCCAGCTAACCGGCTTAGAACTGCAAAGATCGCGCCCAGGCTTCCGCCCGGGCTTGCTGCGTCGAAGGCATGACGGCATCTCCGACTTGGGCCGCCCAGTGTGCCGGAGTGCAGGTGTCGTCGGTGAGGTACAGGTCCATGGCGCTGGACAGGCTCAGAACAGAGGACAGGAAGGACAGCAGCATGCAGGGAACCATCCCACGCGAGAGATTCCCCAGCGAAAGGGAGCTTTGGTGGTCCAAGACGCGCAGGTCGCAAAGCAAAGCCATGGCCAGGCCACCACCAAGCACCAGACCCTGCAAGGCCGCAAAAAGGAAGTCCATCTCTCTTAAACGGAGGACGGCCAGGAACAAGGTGAAAGGCGCAGCCTGGAAGAGGGACTCTCCTCGCGAACTTGCACTCGGGTTGCCGCCGGGGCAGAAATGCGGACCTCCTCCCTGCAACAGGAGAAACTGTCCACAGGATGGAGCAGAGCCAGCAAAGCCTCGCGCAAAGCCTCGCAAAGAGGACTCCTCTAACACTCTAACAAGCCCTGGAAGCCCCGAGCTTCGCGGGAATGAAGCATACTTTGCCCACCTCTGCTCCTGCGTGATCTCGACCAGACCGTCGAAGTGCTGCAAACACCTCAGGTGTCAGCAGCTGCGTGCTGCGCGCTCGCTCGCGTCTCGCACCGGCCAAGCTTCGGTGCAGCTCCGTCGTTTCCTCAATTTTCTGTGTGTGAAGAGCATCAGCAAGTTTGCTGAGAGGAACACCAGCCCGAGAAAGAGGAGATCTCATGCCCAGGAGACACACGGAGCGGATCGAATGGCTAGTGCTCTTAGTGCTCCTCGAGCCTAACCTGGGTAGCAGGAACCCTTGGGATGGAGTGCGATACCTTCAAGCCCTGCTTGCAGAAATGTCCGCAGGCGTCCGGCCTGGCCGTTGCCGCCCCGTGCAGAGAACAGGGTCGTACCGAGAAGCAGAGAGCGCCAGGCACAACACCGATCTTTTTGTCGAGGCCAAACCTCTTGGCTCGCGCTGGGCCCTAACCCCACACCCTAAACCCGACACTGTCACCCTAAGCCGCCTAAGCCCAAGCTCACACCGAATTTGTATCCTAGTCCTAGTCCTAGTTGCATGCTGGTACCGAAGCTTGTATGCGCTGGAAGCCTCTGCCGTTGCGAAACAGGGATTGCAGGCAACGATCAAGGTGCTATCGTGGAGGATCAGGGCATCAGTCTGCAAGACCCTACCAACCCTCTAAGGCCGGCTGTGATGGAGCATCGTCTTCATGGCCTTTTCACCAGGGCTCCAGAGAAGTCCTGCGAGCCGAATGCTCCGTGCTGTCAGACGAACCACCGCACTGGCCATGCCCGCCAGGCCCGTGTTGGATTCACCCGGAGTGGACCGGCAACCTGAAGAACCTTGGACGCTTCGCCTTCGTCGCCTTCGCACGGCTGCATTGGCCGTGTTGGGGGTTGCAACAGCCATGGTGCTGCCAAGTGCAGAGTCGGCTGCAGCGCCGGCAGCAACAGCCTCACCCTCGGCTTCAGCGAAGCGGCTGAAGTCTCCCTGCGAGGCCCCTGGAAGCGTTGAGGGCGTGCTCGATGCCGGCGGGCTGCAGGCGGTCTTGGTTCTGGCTGTTGCAGCTGTGACGCTGGCTTTGGCATTTGGCGGAAAGCCTCGCCGCAATTGAGAGACAGCTGGAGGCCACGTGCTTCCTCGGCGAAGCGTGCGGCGTCCGCGGCTGGCACTCGGACGGAGCGAAAGGATTGGAGGGTTGTGGCCGACAGGGAGACTGCGGCGGCACGCGTGCTGGAGGGCGAAGAGAACAAAGCTTGAATCAGGCCGCGGGCCAAGGCAGTGCACGCATCCAAGACGGAGTCTTCCAAGTAGAAAGCCATGGCATCAGCCAGGGAAGAAGCCAGAAGAGCCAAATTTCTCGAAAGGAGGATGCATGGCACCGCTCCTTTTGACAAGTTGCCGAGTACATAGGTGGTTTCGACATCTGCGAAGCGGACATCCGCCACCTGGGACATGGCGACACCTCCGCCTTGCACCAGGCCATACAGGGCAGCAACCAGTAGCCCCGTCTCCGCAGCCTCCCGGAGCCTGAGCTCAGCCACAAATCCAGTGAAAGGGGCCAGCGTGAAGGCACTTTCACCGTCTCGCAAGGTCGCCTGGACGTTCCCACCAGGGCAGAAGTGCGGGCCGCTAGCTTGCAAGGCTAAGTGGCCAAAGAATCTAACCTGCGCTGGCTAACAATGGAAGGGGTTTACCGGCTTACTCGACACGAGCGATGCCTGCCTCCAAAGGGTGTGTGTCGATTCGCTCCTTTTCTGCATCTCTCGATCGTGGCAACAGGATCACCTGCAGAGGGCGACGAAACCGAGCCGCAGGAGCAGCAGGAGCGGAATGGGCGGGCGGCTTGTGGGGCTTGCTCTTGGGCAGTACCTGGTGACTGTGCTCACGGTGCAGCGGCACAGTGTGCTGCGCCCAAAGTCTCAACCTCGTGAAGGAGCTGCAGAGGTGCCCACGGAGCCCATGGAGCCCGTCATGTTCGTGGAGCGGCCTCGGAAAGCGAAAAAGCTTTCGGGCAGTGGCGGGGGATGAGCACCCGAGCGCTTGCCAAGGACCACTTCAACTCTCCGCGGGTGCTCAGACAAAAAACCGGGGGAAGATCCTTCAAGAACAAGGGGCCCTGGCCAGGCTAAGGCCCTGGGAATGGGTCCTAGACTGGGGTTCGAGTCACTTCTCCTAGTCCTGTGTGGCTCACCGCGTGAAGTCCAAGGCCTCCAGGCCGAGGCCAAAGCGAATCCTTTCCCTCCCTGCCTTTTTGGCTCTTGCCGTGGGCTCAGTCCGGCGCAGTAAGGCGTCGTCACGCTGTCAAGGTTCAGGTCAGCGTGCTGGAGCTTAGCAGCTTGCACTTCTGTTCCCATCTAGCCAGCGAAGCTTCTGAGGTTCCGGCAACACAAACGTCTCAAAGGCAGCTCTTAATTTCGGAATCCCCTACGCTGGCAAAGGGGGGTGAACGGAAGGGGAATTCAAATGAAGAGACTGTCACTCGAGTGAAGCGGGCAGCTGAAGCAGCTGAGGGGTACCTTTTCTTGCTGGCAAATCTAGACAAAGCCTACGCCTCAATACGGATCAAGGGGCTGCTGGGAGAAATCAAGACGCAAAACGAAGGGGTATGTGTAATTACTTTCCTAGAATCTAGAACAATATGGCTGTGGCAGTATTGGTGATGGTCTTGTGACTGACATGCTTGTGGCCGGCATGCTTGACATGCACGAAGAGCATCAAGCCTGCAGCTCAAAGCACACACAAACTCTGCGCAAGCTCGATAATCCTTCGTGAGTCGCAGTGACGACGCAGAAGCGGAACTCTGTTGCAGGCTGCAGCCATGACCAGGCCATTTGCTGGCTTCAAGCAGGCCGCGCATCTCTGAGAAACACTTTCGCAAAGCCTCAGGCCGGAAAGTGTTTTTCATGTGGCATGAGTAAGAGGATGCCTTGTGGACACATGGCACACGCAATGCTTCATCTGGCCAGAAGGGCAGTCGCAAAGGTGCTCAGCAAGGGGGCTGAGCACCAGTGCCACGCAGGACCGGGTGCACAATGCACAGGGGCCACGGTCAGGTGCCCCTTCGACTTCGAGGCACCCCCAAAACCCCTGAAGTTCCTCAACCCTTACAGGGCAGCTTCGTGCGGCCTGCAGTGCCTGCTGTGCCTGCCGTGCCGACGGTGCCTGCGGTGCCTGTCTGGTGCTCCGGCTTGATCGTCTCGGCATACTCTAAAGGCTCAGCTGCAGCCAGCGCGACCAAGGGGCCGGCAGGAGTGCCAGAAGGTTTAGCCGCTGAGCCGAGCGTCTCTTATTTCGGGGGCGACGGAGCCCTTACACACCCTGTGCGAGCTTACAGCTCGGAGGAGTCTTGCAAAATGTCTTTGGGAAACAGGTTACATTTTGCTACAAAGAGGGGACAAATGCGACGGAGATCGTGACGGTTTCAAAGCTCTGGAATCATTTTTCTTACTGGTGGCTATCCAAGCCCTCGCTCAACAAGCGCGACATCGACGATGTCAGGCCGCCTCAATTTTTCCAGCAAACGAACCCGATTGATGAACATGCATGTGACACGACGGCGGCCCGGCACGAGGCTGCGCCAGGACATGTGCCAACAGCACTCAGACCAAGACTCAGCCATGTGCCAGCTGGCAGCTCTGTCGCCTGTCCCACCGTCTGCGTCTTGCCGTAGCAGCTACACATCCGAAACTCTGGCCACAGCTGCGTGAGCTTTCCACATTGCCCACTTCCACGGCTCAAGCATGGTGCTGCCCATGTTCAGAAAGTTGACAGCACGCACAGAGGGGACTGGCAGTAGACAAACCATAGAATCCCAGCTGTCGCTGCGGCCTACACTGATCTGGAAACTTGGGGCTTGGCCGTGCTGCTTTAACAATGCAAGGACTAAGGAGCACAAATCCTGATCTGGACCAGCCTCGAAGCATCGCCGTCGCCGCGCACATGCGATCCGATATGCTGTGTAGAGTTCTGCACATCGTGAAACAGGACAGTGCCGATCTCGGATGCATCCGTGCCCCGCTGCATCGAATCGGCGTACGCACAGCCAGCGGCGCGGCAGATCCTCTCAAAAAGCCGGGGCGTCACATGCGGCGTCCTGCGAGCTTGGCACTACCCTCTCTCGCCATGCTTACACGGGAGTTGCAACTGGCAAGATGCGGGCGTCCTGAGCTGACGATGCATTTACTTGAGCATTTGCCGATTAGATCTGCTTATCTCCTCGCGATAGACCTGCGAAGAAACCGGGCGGGACTTCTCAGATGTCTTGTCGCGATAGCTGTGAGGCACCCTGGTGAAGCCGCATCGACTCGTCGAATCTGCAGCCGAGCTGAGTTTCGGAATCGATGCATCACCTCATAGGTCAAGCCTCACCAGCGACACTGCCTTCAAGCTTTTTGCAGACCCACATTTCATCGGCTCCACATCCGACCCTACATGTGCACACCATTCCTGGCGGCAGGTCGTTTGCGAGCTCTCAAAGCGGTCAAGAGGGGAAGAGCGCAGAACGACAGCGGGCGAGGCATGCGAGGCTCAGCGAGTGGCATGCAACAGTGCACGGAAAGATTTCCTCGCGGTCGCGGGCGCGGGCGCAACCGAAACAAGCATACTCCACAGCAACACCTCCGAGCTATCCGGGCAAGCAGGCCGCGGCATGCAAATTCAGAAAAATATCATGCCATGTGTGCCTCAAAAATCACGCCCGGGCTGGGCAGTAGCGGAACACAACGAGAGCGTGGACCTGGAACACATGGAATGCCCACACTTACAAGGCGGCGCTGGCTCTGCCGGTGGGGCCACCAAGGCCATTGTTATTTTGGAGGCTGTCAAGCAGAGCTGAACTGCGTCGCAGACTGTCACGAGGGCAGGGGCCAAGAAGGGAACTTTCTGGAAGCGGTTGTAGCTAGGGCCTACCGCGCGAGTGTGACTACGAGGCACGGCAATTCGATCTTGGGTGCTCAAGGGATTGGCTGTGCTGGACTTCGCATTCCAACTCTGTGAACGTTCCGCGCACCTCACAGGCCACGCCTTCAGTTGTGGCCAGCAGCGAGGTTGTCAGCTTCTCCAAAGTCAGGACTCCGACTCGGATTTGCGTCTGCTCTTGCGCTTGAATCGTCGAACATGACCATTGCTGCAGGCACTTCGGCTGCGCAGCCGGCTCACAATGGGAGAGTTCACCGACGCAGCTCCCAGACAGGGAAGCGGGACTCTGTCGCACACTGTATCTGCAGGCTCCTGTAATTCAATGGCTTGGGCCGAATCAGAAGCAGCTTGGCCCGACGCCTGCACCCTACGCCCGGGCACTCGGTGCCCAGGTGCCATGAGTGTTGGGAGCGAGAGCGAGCTGTCTTAGAGGAAAATGACCCGTGCAGGTACGTCGCAAGAATCAAAGCGCAGCTGTAGCTTGCAAGGCTTGCAAGGCTTGCAAGGCCTACAAGTGAGCCTGATCGCGGAGCTCAGCTCGGTGCGGCACTTTCCCTCGGCCGGTGTGGCGCTTGGCACTGCTTTGTGTCATGCACCCTTCGCGATGTGCTTCTGCCTGCGCTGGAGCCACGGCCATTTGCAAGAGGCGCTTTGGAAGACAACTGCTGGGCCCAGTTGGTCAATGGTCTAATCTAGTCCTTGCAGCAAAGAGGGAAACTGGTGATGCATTGCCTACGACCGAGCCGTCGTCTGTCCTCCGCCTTTGCTCCCGGCAACTGGTGGTCACAGACCAAGACGACCTTCAGACGGGACTGAGCGAGTGATGTCATGTCGGTCCCTCTCCTGGTACCCCTGCCTTACCAATCTGCCTCGAACTCTGCAAAAGCCGAAAAGCCTCCGACTCTCAGGGCTTCAAGACTTCAAAGAGCTTCCGCTTCATTGGGGCAGGGGCTTCGAGGGCTTGCCCCGGAAACTCAAAGACGGAGGTCGGTGGAAGCTGCAGCTCTCCTGCCTGCACCACGATTGCTGGAGTGCCGTGTCTGACAGTGACAGTGACTCAGTGACGCCTGGATGGCTGCGGCAATGGCCCTCAGCTCCCTAGCCAGGCTCACAGCCGCCAAAGCGACGCGTGTGTCCAGGAGCCTGCGCGACGGTGGTCCGGAATCCGTGGTATGTCCCGCACACTGAGTCAGTCTGGGGCACATGGTGGCATGGACCACGTCGCTGCGGAAACGCTGCACCGACAGCGACGACCAAACCTCGGCTCAGCGGACAGCACAGGGTACAGCAAGTCAAGGCGCAGCAAGCGGCCACGGCAGCCGAGCCGCCCGGAGCTTCCCAAGTTCCAGGAAGCGCCCTGCCGGGGCCAGCACTGACAAACCTCAGACCAAGGCACAATCAAATCAGCTCCCTTCACTCTGACTCTGACCACTTCGAGCTGCCACGGGGGATGAAGTCGTCGTGCGTCAAGCAGTTGAGCAGGAAGTCTGCTCCGAGGCAGTGTTCTGGGAGGCCAGCGAGAGCGTCTCGTAAGAACCTCAGACGAGCGACTACTTAATTAACTCAATGCTCACCCACCCAGATTTTGGCCTTTCCCTTCCGAGCCGCGCATCGCCGGAGCGGGAGCTCGTGACCCGACTGACGCCACGCCGCATGCGCAGGAAGCACTGCTTGCGGGCCTCGGAGGAGCCGAAACCCTCCAAGTGCCCTGCTCCTCAGTGTCTGCAGCCGAGAGGCACTCCCCGCCGTCGCGAGCACCGCTGCGCCACGGCTGCGCAGCGCTGCCAAGGCAAGGACCCCCGTGCCACCTCGAAAGTCTCAGATGGGTGGCAGCTCGTGGCATCTGGAACGGAGCAGGCGGCTCCGCGGTGAGCTCGGCCCGCCTGCAGCCGCCTGGAGAGCCACGAGGTCGCCGGGTAGAACGTGCCCCAGCTCCGCCACGGCTGCCGCAACCGTCCTGGGAGGAAGATAGGGGGAGCATGTGTAGGTAAGCTCAACAGGCTCTGGGCCAAGGAGCAGGGCGACGGTGGGCAGCGAGGCCATGCTTGCGTCCCTCTGACCCTGTGGAATCAGAGCCGCCAGGCAGTCGCTCGCTTCGATGTACGGCCTCGGGCAGGCAGCCGCTAAATGGTGAGGAGCCGGAAGCGAGTTAGGCCCTCACCGCAGGCTACCCTGGGCGATGCCAAAGATCCGGTCCCCACAGCGCAAGGCAGCGGAGGGCTCAATCACCAGTCCAGCCTCAGACACGGCTTCTGCTGGGATCTGTCCTGCTGCTTCTCGCACGCACCTCTTTTTGCATTGAGCCGCTGCCACATTCAAGCAACTGGCACTGGACTCTCGGGGATCTGTTCCAGATCCGGAACTAAGAGAATGCGATGGCATGGGAGCCACGCTCTGGTTGAATCCCGTCAGAAACATCTTAGCTCTCGATCACCATATCCAAACCGGCACTTGTATTCATCGAAAAGTGTGACCAGTGCCTCCACGTACACCCCATGCCAGTGGACGAGGTCTTCAAGTGTCGGATTTGGGATCGTTGGCAAGTGCAATGCTTTGCCGTAAACAGTATTTAAGCCGCCACCACGAGGCAGCAGCGGGCAGAAAGCTTTGCCCCAGAAAACTGGAACCACGAAGCCGAAGGTCTGTCAGGGATCACGAAATCCTTTGACACCCAAACCCCAGCTGCGAAGCACTTCTCCCTAGAGTCCTAGAGGTCCTAGGCCTAGGCCTAGAGGATCCCGGACTGAAAGCAGACCTACACAGAGCCTTGACCAGCCACAAATTCAAGGGCCTCAGCCAGGTGAGGCTGTGGTATTGGTCGGTCTCTCCAAAGGTATAGGCAATAACCAGGCAATACCCATGTTGCAAGGAATACTTGATGAAACCATACCGAGAGTTGATGTAGACATTTTCCTTCCCGTGCTCGTGGATGGCAACGTCCTCGCTTCCCCCAGGAATGATGCCAAAGGCTGTCCCGGCTGCCAGCAGCTTTTTCATGTTCTCCTGAATCGACTGGACGTGAGACACGCAAGCATTCACGCTACACTCTGTGACACCTGTCTGCCTTCGTCGCTGGTGTGCAGCAGTCCCACATCCGCAGCATAGGTGCAAAGAAAGGAAGGCGCCAAAGCACAGGCGCTTGCACCCCATCGCAGTCCTTCGAGCTCAGACGAATCACGCGATCAGGCTCGCTTTCTGGGCTCCTCCGGGAAATGGAATGACTCCGGCAGGTAAATCTCCGGCTGTTGTGCCTTGACACGGAGAGCCCTTGGTGCTTGGATCTTGGGAGCTCTAAGGACAGCGAAGAGTCAAAATCTGTCTGGCCGGGCGGCGCGTTGAAACTAAATCCCAGAGGTAGCACGCCGTGCGGGTGGAAGCACACCCTGAGCGATGCACTACCATGGGACATGGAGAGTCTCCGAGACCAGAAGGAAGAAGAACATGCTGTCCCTCTACACTGCTCTGAGCGGCAAATAGCTACGGCCCTGTAAGAGCTGCATGATCGAGTCCGGAACCCAGGCTGTGGCCCCGCCCACTGTCGACGCTGCCTTAAGGTAGAAGCGGCAGAAGTGCTTGGAGTGGCGCGCAGGACAGAGGACCGTGAAGAGCGCCAAGACCAAAAAGCATAACCCTGCCCTCCAGTCAACCCTCCAGAGACAGAGCGTCAGCACGGGGCTCAGCGCACCCAACTGTAGCCCACCCCAGACCAACAGATGGGCGCTGGCCCCGATCAGATAGTCCAAGGAGCCCCCTTCCCCTCCGATCCTGTGGCTGTGCAATGCATCTGACATGGGTGGCCGACCTACCTCAACCTTGAGGACGGCAGCAGACGGCACTCAGCGTTCAAGAAGCTTCCTCCCCTCAAAACTCTCAAGCCCTTGAAACCCCTTGACCCCAGCAAGCATGAGGTTCAGACGAAGTCGCTGCCCAAGGAATCGGTCTGCACGGCACTCCTTCACGGCTTTTGCGCTCACTGAATCGCGGCTTCGGCGCTTCGAAATCAAAGATCCACCTGCCAGCGACGCTGCGCGGCATGGCGCCGAGAGCCTCTGGCCATCGTGAATTCGGTGGCAACCCGGTCCTGTTGAGATCCCTTCCGTCCTGGATGATGTCGAAGAAGTTTAGGCCAACCGCAACGGTCCTGCCGTCAGGGTTCTTGCACCTCTCGCCATGCCCGTCGTGACTACGCATGCATCGTATGTCCGTATCCCTTTTGCGCCAGTCCTCACCACTGCGCCGGCCTGCAGATTCGCGATGTTTGTCACCAGAACTTCAACTTGAAACTAAGGCACGCTTGCTGGCGAGGTGCCCTCATCTTGGGCGTGGTGCTTGGGGCGTCAGGATCAGTTTTGGAAGCTCTGGCCAGGTCCGTCACGAGCACGTTGCATGACCGAAAAGCCGGTGCGCGACGCCCGGAGCCGTGGCTGCGACCCCTCGCCAGGCTCGCCGCCAGGCTCGCCGCCAGGCTCGCCAGAGCCGACTGCCGGTGTGCTGAATCTTTGAAAGCACATGTGGGCGCCTGCCGTCAAGGCTGGGCACCTTCACTGCGAAAGCTCTCGCAACCTAGGACCGAGCAAGTGTTGCCACTCTGCCAGAGCTCTGGGCCAAGCTCAGTGCCGGCAGCTCAGGAAGTGCCGGACTGCACGCTGCACAGACCCATCAGCCTGCTGCCCACATACGGGCGCAGCTCGAAGATCAGCGCTCGGCAAGGCATGGTGAAGGTGAAGGTGCTTCTTCCCCTCATGAGCGGCTGTGCCCGGGTTGGGCCCAGATGGGAGCGTTTGGAGCTGCGAAGACCGGTCTGGAACATTCCCGGGCGAGGCCGCTGTGGCCGCCGCCGCCAGGCGCCGCCAGGGCCAGGTCCCCATCGGCTCTCAGAGCTCTCAGTCCACAACCACCCTTCAAGCAACTCCCCTTTCCACGCAAGCGCAGGGACTGGTGGGTGCAACCGCATGATGCATGAGACCTGCGCAGCGCACTAATGGAGTCTTTACAAGAACAGCTTGTTTGTCCGCACAGTCAAAGTGCACCAAGTTTCTGAAGCCTGTGCCTGGCAGCACATGGGAAGCAGCTGGCCGATTCTGCGCTGTCATGGGGGAATATCTCTCAACAGCAAGGTCAAGCGTCGAAAGTGAGGCCCACATGACCGTCGAGAGCCTGTGTCACCACAAGCTCCTTCCACGCACCTTTCTTGTAGCTGTTCCTTGCCACATCGGGCAAAACGCGCACGTGAAGGGTCCGTCTTGGATGTGTCGGCGCTGCTTCCGGCAAGGGCTTTACAGGTAAGGCCTTCCAAAGCAGGCGACGAAGATCACGGCGATCCATCGGAACCCCAGGTGCAGCAAAAAGGAGACTTGGCACTCGGAGCGTGGGGAGTCTGGGTAAGCCTAGTCTACTAGACTAGAGTCACTAGAGCGAGACCTAAAGGTGGCTCCCGGCCAAAATAACATCGCCGCGAAACTCCGAGGCGAAAAGGAGCTGTGGGTGCCCTTTTTGCCCTGGCGGCCCGTTTTGCCCAAAGTCGTTCTTCCATTCTGCATTCGTTTTTTCCTGCCAGCAGTAAAGATCTCCTATTCCAGTTCATCCTGCCATCGGGGGTGGGCAGAGACCTTGGCGGCCTTATGAACGGCCCGTTGGCCAAAGCCCGGGCGGGACAAGAAGCGTCACAAGTCTGACTTGGTTTCTGTATCGACCAAGTCATACAGGAAGAGATCCAGCACGAGAGTCTTTGGCTTCAATGCCTCAACCTTTCAACCTCTCAACCTACCCTCCGGTACAAGGAATCTAGGTGGAGGAGTGACACATTCCTGTTCCCTCCTGCTGGAAACCTCAGGCCCTAAGGGGGCCCTAAGGGCTTAAGCTGGGCTCCTTTCTCGCAGCTTCATGCCTTCGCCTCGGGACCCCCTTGAACCGGAACCAAGGGTGTCCTGTGCACGGAACAACACCAGGGCCTGGGTCCTTGGCTGTGACCCCCATCCGCAAAGAGACTCAGCAGCTCCAGGTGCAGAGCCTGAGTGCAACCTTCATACAAAGGAAATGGACCCACTGCTTCTTGCAACGTTTTCGGACAACCTTGACTGAACCGGACAACACCAGCACGGATCCTGAGTCAGGATCGCGGTGGCCAAGTCTATTCCCCAAGAACCTTTGGATTTTCTCTCCAAGCCTTCCTCTTGCGCCTGCGTCGGAAGCGCCGGGTCAGTTGATGACAGCTTCGGCAGTCTGCGCCCCTATGCCGGCACCCCAACAGGTGCAGCACGCGTGCATGGGAGGTGCAGTCGGCCCACCACGAGGCGTGATCTCAACTGATGCCGGGGAGGCCATGCGTCAGCCCCTTTGCAACGTGCGCTTTTTTATGTGAAGGCCATCTCCGTCAAACTTTCCTGTCCTTTCATCTGCCACGCCGCCAGAACCAAGCCAAATCCGATCTGGAAGCCCATGTGAAGGCTTGCAGGGTGAGCAGCTGTCGCGTGGTCGCATGAGCCACGACGGAAGCTGGCTTTGACTCCACCAGGCATTCACAGCTCGGCGGGGCTGCCTCCAAAGCAGGCCCAACACAGCCCAAGGTCCCTCCGTAAGCTCCGATGGACTTGGAGACCTGCAAGGACTCGAGGAGGTCCTTGAAGCCCCCGTGACCGGTCATGGAGATGAGGGCCCGCGCAGAGTCAGCACAATTTTACCTCAGCACAGGCGAGTCAAAAGGGCATCAGACTGGCTTTTTATGAACTTTGCATCCCTGGTACCGACATGCTTGGCTTGCTTGAGGACCTGGAAAGCAGCACCCACCTGATCCGGAAAGCTGTAAGTCGTGATGGGTGGCATTCTGAGCTCGCCTGGCACAGGCAGTTCGACGCGGTTCGACTACTACGACGACGACTAAACTACGTTTGCAACTTGGATTGCTGCACCGTCGCCTGCAGAAACGCCGTAGGCGATAGCTCGAAGGTATGCAAGAAGCGTTGCAGGAGCCTGACAAACTTTTCACAGAGATGCAACATCAACATGTGGGACATGTTTCTAGTTTCTAGTGCATGCTCCTTCTGCTTTGCAAAGTCTGGCGTGAATGCTTGTGGTGTATTGACTTCAGGATTTCATAGCATCACCAAGCCTACGCAGTTTCTGCTCCTTTGCCAGACGTGAACGCGTGCCAGCACTTTCTAGAAAGAATGAAACGGAATTAAACTGAAGCCTGGTGCATGTACTGTGCATGCTTACATTCCGGGCACCTCCGCTGCCCGTCGGTCGATGAGGAGCACAGCCGAGAGCAAGTCGGGCCGGAATGCGGAAACTGCCTGCGTTGACCAGGCCTGCACGCAGTGCCGCAGTGCTCACTAACAAGGACCTAAGGAAACTCTGCCCCAACGGCAGCCGCGCCTTCACTTTGCTTAGCTCCAGAAAGCGCCCACCCGGCGCGGTCAGGGACAATCCTCTGGGCACGTAGTCGTCGTGGGTCAAGCAGTTCAGAACGATGGTGGCCCCCCCAAACTCCCCCATGGCCCATCTCAGATCTGCTGAGCAAGCCCGCGAATCCCGGGAAGAGCTAGCATGGCAGATGCCACGTAGCCGGAGCAAGCACTGCTTCCTGGCACTGCCTGCCGTTGCAAACACGCTACCTGCTCCCAGGCCACATCGCCGAGCTGCGGCCAATGCCGCCAGCCCGGCACCACCGGAAGCAGCGTGCAAGAGCAGGCGCTCTCCACAACAGAGACGGGCCCAGCCCGCAAACGCAGCCTTCGCAGTGAGGAAGATTGCTGGAAGTGCCGCTGCCTCCTCAGGGGATAAGCCCTTCGGCCGAAGCGCCGATGCTGGAATGTTTGGCAGAAGCTCAGCCAGAGTTCCCGGACTCCCTGCCAAACCGAAAACCGGATCCCCAGAGCCCAAAGTGCCCGCGAAGTCGCATCCGATGCCAACAGAGTGCTGGTGGCCTCTGGCAAAATGCCCTGCGACAAGCGAAGGCATCGCCCCCAGGACTTGGACAAGATCAAAAAAATTCAGGCCGACGGCCTCCACACAAACCTGTCGCGTGATCCGAGCATCCAGGTTGGCCGCCTGTGGTGCTAGCAGCAAACGGGAACCGACTGCAGCAGAGGACTTCGGTAGCTTCGGTTTCTTGCACGGTAGCACAGGGCTCAGGCGGCCCGGCGCAGAGCCAACCCGTCTTTGGTCACCGCTTTGTGCAGAACAACGCCGTCTAGATGCATTCTCATCAGGATTCATGCTCACGAGACCTTGGCGATTCTTGCCCCTGGAACTGACTCCAAATGCTGCTGCATACACTTCCCCAAGACCGAATGAAATGGCAAGCAACGCGAGATGGGGGAGAGTGAGCGAAACTGGCGATGCAAATGCAGTCTCCACGAGGTTATGCTCTTGACATGCCCTAGGAACCGAAAGGAGCATTTGCAGGCTCTGAAGGTGAAGCCTTGCTGCGAGTGCTTCCGCAAAGTGCCTTGGGGTATACTAGACAGTTTGTTGGTGACGATGAAACACTTCAAAATCCACGTTTACACTTTTGAACTACACTGACACGCTCCTTCACTTGCAGACATTCGGCAGTCGCAGGAAGAGGGACCACCTACCACATCCACGAGCACGGCAAACCTTGCAACCTTGTAACAACATTGCTCTACTTTCTACGTCCGACACTTCACCAATTTGGGAATCTTCAAATGCCACTGACGGCAAAGCAACCCATCGACATAAAATGCGGCAGGGCCATTCCTTCAACCGGCATCGGTTGGCTCAAGCTGACGCATTCCTCAGGATGCCGACATCAAACACTCAATATGCACGATGCTCCAGCAGA